AAAAAAAAAGGATACAGATCATGACCTTATCAAGAGAGTATACAAATAATCAGATATTTGTAAACACTCTCCTTTTACATTCCATAATATTTAGTTGCACTTTGTACAGTCTGCATATTGAAAAAAATAATATCAACTATCCTGAAAATAAATAAATTGACTCCTAATCTTAGAGCGCAATTTACTTACCACACAAACAGAAATATTACAGAGCAACTTATTTTGTAAAAACTAAAAAAACAAATTTATATTTTCTAATGTGTTGTTTCACTGTGCCCTGTCTATAGTGATGAAAATAATGACAATATTATATAAATCACTAGTTAACGTAAGAACCGATTGAGAATGACAAAACTGACATAAATGTTATTTTACAATGTATAATACCTTAATATCACTTTCTTATTTACTAAAATAAGAATTAAAAAAAGAAAGAAAGAAAGAAAGAAAGAAAGAAAGAAAGAAAAAAAAAACACACATACGACTACTGCCTTGTAAACAATAACTAAACCCATTGGCAATGGATGCCACAACGTCATGGCACATAATCAAGGATACAAGGCAGTGCCTCATTATATCATGTGCCCATGCCCCAATTGCTGGTATGAGGTTCCACAAGCCCTAATCACCTAGGCATGGAGTGGCATGCGTTAATGAATACTCATCCTCGCTTGAATTTATGTACGATTTACCTGTTGTTATTAGGTTGATGAAAAACAGGTATTAGGAATACTGTTTACACAAGTTACCTTTTTCGTACTGGGAGAGGATGAATTCCTTGGGACCAGAATGAAAATTAGTCGCAATAAGCAATTACTTTATGGAGTACATGTTCACTACATATTTTTTGTGGAGGCCAAACTATTATGCTGGGATGTGGTATAACAGTAATTGTTTCTTTAGCTAACAGGTCTAAAGTTAAGTGAACAAACTGGAGTGTAAGTAATATTCTTATTTTTTTTTGGAATATCTTAACATCAGGACTTTCTTCTGTAGCACAAGACCAAGACAGAAATTAAGCCAGACAAAAACAGTCGCTACAGTCTTCATCTGGGAGGAGTTCCATTTGCAAACAATACATGCGGAAAATCTCAAATTCAGACTGAAACACAAAACACAAAAGCTTGAACTGGGTACACATTTTATGGAAACGAGATTTGTTGGTCTTTGCTGAAACACCCAAAGGCGTAGAGGCTATGGCAATTAATGTGGATGGGTAGGTGTTAGTGCTAGATTTACCGAAGAATTAATAGAAAAAATAACAGTAGCATTAAAACAAATAATACATTTCTTTCTTCAAAAAAGGTCCACATCAGTACTATGAAAAAATTAGTCCTTGGAAACCAACTAGACCTATAGCCACCATATTGACCCTGATAGCCAAGGAAAGAAGGAAATATATGAATACTATGGAAATTGATGTGTAAATAATAATAATAATAAAATGATATAAAAATAAATAATAATGATAAATTACACTAATATAAAATATAAAATCAATTCTACCAGTAAGCAATTTCTAAGGGGCCCTGCCACCGATAACCCCCAAATACGGGGGAATTATACTGAGGTACTATCAGAGCTATTTAGGGTCTCGAACAATGGATGCTCCCGTGGCGGCATAGCTTTAAAAAATCACCTTAGGCACAACACCTCTGATGATGTGTCAAGAACTTGGAAACATATGCTTTAAAATTTCAGGTAAAATCAAGCTTATAGTAGTTCCTTAGGAATGTCTATAAGCTCTATCTAGACAGAATATATGTGGTGAAGGTATGTTAATTATTGCCATTATACCAATAGGTGTGGCAGTGCTGTGATCGTTAGACATTATACCAACCTAATTACAACCATTTATTATTTATTAGTAAATGGGTTCCTTGGACTAAAATAGTTACAATATACATCTACTGATATGAGTACTTTTAAAACTACTTCTTGACAGAGCAAATCAGACACAATCCATTGATACCACATTTGTTTAAAATGATGTGGACTTTCTCTAAAAAGTCCAAGGAATTGAGAATATAATACACGAATTTCCTTTATGTTATGTTGTTCACACTAATTTCCTTGGACTTTTTAGAGAAAGTCCACAGCTTCCTTATTTAGAATATAATACACGAATTTCCTTTATGTTATGTTGTTCACATTAATCATACATGGATATAATTTACTTTCAAAGGTAATTTTCCCGTGTCATCATAAAACTTGTCTGAATTTTATAAACCGAAACAGCAAATTTTTCACAATGATATATTCATCGTTGAGAAGTTGTGGAGTTTTTGCCAGTAACTTTTAAATACGTGAAAAATACCTTATTCTTTGAGTAGAAAACAAATAAAACGTAATAAAAAGTAAGATAAGTACACCAACCAACCGATTTTCAACTCGTGCCAATACTTAGACGCTTACAAACTTACGAACAAGTAAATAATATGGAATTATTATCACAGACGGGTCACCTCAGGCAAAGCCAAAACCTGTCTTCCTGTAAGGC